CGGCATACGATGGCTGGTGTGGGTCTTCCGGGCTGTGGAATATTTGCAGCTGGTTTCAGAATGGTTTTTTTAAAACCTGTCACTAGTTTCCTTAATTTTTTTGGCTACCATTCCAGTACTCTTATTCACTTTATTTGGTTCATGCTATTGCATCTCCTCCTAATACATCTTGTAGAAGTCAGGTTTTAAAGCATTGTTTTAGCAGGAATTAAGAAAAGCAAAATGGTATATTGCAAGGAATTTAAATAAATGGATGATCACAGATAAGACACAATATTTATTTAATGGCTATTGATTTCTTGAAGATTATATCTATGTAATTAGGTTATTCCTTTTTTACTTTGAAGTTGTGATTACAAATGCACACGATTCATCTAATATCATCCAGGATCTCTTATCAACTTTTCCAGAGGTTTGATTGAAGAATTGATAGTACCAATAATGATTTGTAAGCCTGGTTCTCTTGACATAATGGGAAATTATAGCTTCTCACTCTGTGAGGATGCTGCACAGAGATTCAGACTTGCACACTACCTGTTTACTTTTCCTATCTTACGCTTACAAGAAGAAGTGTCTCAGCTTTTCCATTAGGCAATGGTGGTTTCTCTTATTCTACTTTGTGAAGAACTTTCAATCAAAAGGAAGTTGTTGAAAGAACAGAAATGACAGTTTTCTCCTTGGAGAAGAGGAAATCTGCTCCATCCAAGTGGCGTAGGAGTAGACTTAATTGTTTGGTGAAAGGGAAGGGCCACCATAGGCATGATGATGTTGCAATACAGACAGAACCCATTCCCAAACATGGATCACGTCATCATTTTTTTCCCTGCAGTTTGTAGTGAGGTTTTATCCATTGGTTCTTTTAACCCTATTTAAGGCTTACCGGCCAATCTTGTAGATTTCCTGCCACAATTTTTAGGCATTGCAGTTGGAAGGGGCTCTAGGGGCAACAAAATAGGTATGCAGCCTCAGTTTGCTCCCCTCTGAAGAAAGAGGGAGCTGTGGTTTAGATTTTCATGACACAGACATGTGAGATGGGTGGCTATATAAATACGATAAATAAATAAATAGAAACCAGGCTAATCTGCTTGTTATTCCTTAGGTCTAGGGGTACATGCTGCTTCCAACACCAGAAGTCTTCTATGAAAACGTTGCAGTATTTGCCAAGAGAAGCATCAAAAGGTTCTCTCCTGCCTACTGGTTCACAAGAATCTTTCTAAAAGACTCAGGAACTTCAGAATCCTCTCTTCTTTCCTCTTTCTAGTAACCCGGACCTGCGGAGAACAGAGCCCATAATAGAAAATCTGATACAGAGGACAAGCAGTGGCAGTTCTTCCAGCTCCAGCACCCCCAGCTCACAGCCCAGTTCACAGGCTGGCTCCCAGCCTGGATCCCAAGCTGGCTCCAGTGAACGGAACCGAGCCAGAGGTGAGATTTCAGCCCTCCCTCATGCCTACCATTTGTCCTTTTCTACTTTCATCTTTTGCTGCTTGAAATGCTCTACTTGTTGGATTACCACCTGGCCCCTTGTAATGCCATTTCTCCCTGTGTCCTTAATACTGTTGGCGTTTTGAATATCTGCCATCATATGTAACACTAAGTCAGGATATTTTAGCCATGATTAGTTGGACAAGCTGTATTACCCTGGTTTGCTAATAGTATTAAGCCAGTAATGGGTGGGTTCATACATTATGCTAAGCCAAGAGCAAATGAACCACCTTACAGTTTAGTACATGTGATCAGCAGAGAATACCCCCAAATGCCGGGCTGCCTGCCAGCCCTAAGCCATCCTGGCCTCTCAAAATAAAATTGAAATTTAGTTAAAACCCACAAGATCATAAGATTTTGGTAAACTTATGAGATATGATGAGATCTCTAAAATCTCATGATATTTAGCTTGGAGCCAAAAAAGCTTGCCAGTTCCTGATTGAAGGATGCCGTATGGTTTGCATGTTGAAGCAAATGGATGCCACTTAGGCTGGGGACAGGGGAGTTCCAATTCCCTATTTCCTCTTTCTGTCATAGAGAACTGAAGAAGCCCTTGGCAGATGAAAGATTCCTCGACCAAATCAATCCACAACTCCCCTTGAACCTGGGTGTCTTCCAAATGAGTGTACTAGGACCATGGTCATAGCTGAGAATTCTGGGAGTTGAAGTCCATACATCTGAAGGGTGCCTAGATTGGAAAAGGCTGGTCTGAGGCCATAGCATAGCATCAAATTTTACTCCCTTACAGGGTGATTCCAAAATCTGCCACTATCTCATAGTTAAACCTCATATTTAAACTCATATGAGTTAAACCTCATAGTTGGTATTTAGACAATAAATCCTACAAAGGGAAAAATCCTACAAATGTTTGTTTCTTATACACAAGGCTTTTAAAATGTACATGAAGGGAAATTCAATCTTGTGACCTCACCCTGTCATCTGAAATGGTACAGCTCAGATATAGGTTCAGCTAAGCCAAACTTCCTGGAAAGGACACCAGGTTGAATAAAGTTGTCTCAAGCAAATGTGGATTAACAAAAATACCGAAATGCCAATGACATGAGAATGGAAAGAAATTAGGATTTCTCTCAGAGCAGCATGTGCCCATTGATATCTAGGCTCAGTAAAGATTACAGTTGACATCAAAGCAGATGGAAAGAGAATGGGCTTTTCTGAAGCAGACCTTCTCCTCCTGCCCCACACTCCTTGCTTCAATGTGATCTCTAAGGGCTGAAGCAAATCTTTAATCCCTTTTGCACTGGATTTCTTTTTTGCCCAGGAAATGCCAAGCTTGAAGGATCACCCATACTCCCACATGAACCAGTGAAGGTAAAGCAGGAAGACAGCAAGGACGTGGCACGGCCAAGTCGACCTGCTGTGAGTCCTAAGTATCTGGTGTGATAGACTACTGCCAGGCAGCAGATATTTCTGCTTTTGTTTTTGTATTTTTTTATTTGATGAATAATCTCTCCACAACTTCTGGAGAATTTGGGGGGGGGAGTTTGTGGGGGGGGGAATACCCTTCAGGTATTCTTCTTCTTTCTTCTCTCGATTCTTTCGAGAGAAGATATCTTCTTTCGATTCTCTCTCTAGTTTCCAGCCACTTGTCATCTTGTTGTCATTGTGCTTGTTTCTGTGAATCTAGAATCAAGAAATTCTAGGTTAGTTCAAGATGAAGCATAGAGACCCGGATCAGTGCCTTGATTCCTGAACAAAAGAAGCAGATGAGAAGGAATGTAATTGAATATAGTTCCTAGTCTGTGGCAAACTTAAACTACCATTATTTTTCCTAGTGATTTTACAAAGGCATGTATCAAGCTCACTGTGGCATTTCATACCAGTTTGATTTTGCATTTTGTATTTCTAAATTGGAATAGGGTATAGGAGGAATTTAATACTTTGTTATTTCTTCTCCCTTTACACTCAGTTAACAGTTTTTATTTTATTTCTAACCTGCCTCCTGGTTTTTCTGACATTTTCCTATCCTGATCTCTTTCTTCTGGTGCTAATTAATTCACTGTTACTCACAGAGCTATAATAAAGCAATAGAGGAGGTTAGCAGTGTCTGTTCTTGGTTGGTCATGCTCTTGCAGGGGTGACTAGTATGTGCTTAAAGTCAAACCCTATGTTCTTGGCTGCTGACATCCAACAAAATGGGCTCTTGATAATCGTGATTCCAGAGGGAAAATCTTAATACAGCTGGAGGGAGCCTCTCTCAAAAATGAAAAGTGGGTATAAGTGAGATGTAAAACTCTTATTTAACTTGTCTTGGTGAAATAAATTTCCATCTTGATGTCTTTAGTCCACTCAGAGAGTGACTCTGGATTGAGGCAAATTAGTTATAAAGATAGTAAGAACCAAAATAAACTCTATATTTCTGGATTTTCCCCCCCAAGCAGAAAGGCAAGTTCTGATTAAAATGTTGTCTAATTAGATTTTTGCTGAAGTATGAAATCTTAATTGTCCTTTCTCCAGATCTGTTTGGGGATATGTGTCACAGATAAAATTTACATATAGATCTAGATTTTTAGGTTTCAAACTCACCATTTTAAGGTCATGTGCTAAAGGCTTCAAAGCCACATGGGAGCAAAGGGAAGAATCACCAAGGACATTCTTGCTGCATCCTGGGCTCTATAGGGCCAATGAGATGAATCAGAGCAGCCACGCAAGGGTCTTCCCTGTTTCTATCTGTGCTTTTGCTAGTTACACAAAATTAAATATATTTGTTCATTATGTGAAAAAGCATGAGTGAGAAGGAACAAACTCATCCACTATTTTGCTTCATTGTTGCTGAAAGCAGGGTTCTCCAGCCCAAACAGAAGTGACATGTAGTTTCTCATCTGTTGTGTGTGTGTGTGTCTGTGCGCGCATGCGCGTGCGCCTCATAGCACCCTCCAACTTAAAAAAAAAAATCAGGAAATGCTATTCCCCACCATTTTGAGTCAGGAAGCCTGTTTTTATGGGCAAAACAGGCTTAACATCATTTAAAAACAAAAGGAAGTCTTCCAAACTCAACTTCCCTAAAAATTCAGGAAGCAAACATCTGTGCTAGTCATGTACCCTATCTAGACTGCATCATCACATCACTTGTTCCAGTTCTCAGCCTCTCTCCTGAATGTTAAGGGCATATTGATTCCTGGATTAAGCCATGATGTTCAGGCCAGTAAAATGAGAGAGGGCAGGGCAGGTGTCTTACTTTCTCTTAAAGTGTCTTTCTATGTAAATCCTGAGTCCCCAGCATGATTTTCGTGGGTACCAGCATACCCAGTGACATTTCCCTTTGCTCCAACTTGACTTCAGTACTTAACCTGATTTTATTTTGGTTGAAAAATATATTAATTTTAAAAAGTAAATGAGAAGCTGATATGCTGAAAAGCAAGGCATCTTAGCAACATCTTTATTTCCAAAAATGGCTCTGGGCCCCATAGAATGCCCCATAGGTATCTTAGAAAATGAAAATGAGAGAGGGCTGAACATAGCATACTGCTTTGTTTGCCAATATGTCCATCTCCTTAGAAATGAAGTTAAAGGTAAGCTGAGATGATACTCCTAGAGGAGGTGGCAAGGAACAACTTCAGTTTTGCATTTACATTTTTTTTAATTGGCCACACCTATCATGTTCATTTCATTTTGTGAAAGTACTCTTTACATGTTCTCAAAACTTCCAGTGTGCCCATTGCCTCAAAAAGATAAGGAAACCTTAGTGTGAAGGATAGGCACTGCACCCAGTCTAAACAAAAAGTTCAGTCATGTGTTTCATAGATCAGATTAATGGAGAAGTTGTCCTCCAGATGTTGCTGAGTTCAACTCTCAGCATGGCCAATGGCAGTGGCTATTGGAAATTATAATTCAGTAACATCTGTTGGTGCAGTCACTGGTTCTCCAAAATCAGACTAATGGGATTTCTTTTCTCAGGAATCAATTGTTGTTTGTTTACTTTATGCCTAAGCTGGGTCTTCATCAAGCTGTCTGCTATGAGTCGCCTGCCCTCTACTGCCCAAGCATGCTACTAAGCCACTGTGGGGAGGGGATTGTTTTAAAAAGAAGGAATTTCTGCTCTTTGTTCTTGTATGGGAACCAAGAAGCAATAGATCAGGTTATGCAGAAGTCAGAAAGCACCCTTCTCTGTCTTGATATGTCATCAGTTTGGCCTTCCTCTGACAGAAGGAGAACACAGTCCAGTGTATTTGTTTTTGATCTTGCTAAATCTAATCCTCACAATTCCTTTTTCCACACATTCCAAACTGTATGTCCTTCCAAGTTGGGATATCTAAATTGGGAGATGAGAAGACAACTAAGTGAAGGCAAGGAAGTATGACTCATGAATGCCAGAATCCAAGCTGACTTAGGAAAAATATGGCAAAGCCTTCACAAAACTACTATTATATCAAAAATGATTGGTACCTATATTACAGTTTTTGTTCATGCGGTTTAAGGAGTACATTCACATATGAAAGCCTTCTATTTACATTCTGAAATGATAGAAAGACCATTCCACAACTCTTCCAAGCATGTAAAGCAGCTCTGAGGCACACTACATTGAATCTGCTATAAAAATCTGCTATACACTGTGGATTAAATTGTTCTTTTCATGTGTGATTGGAAGGCTAGAAATCTAAGAAATCAAACATTCAGGCCCAGCTGGGGCCCCTTTCTCTTGCTCAAATAATTTGTGAGCAGTAATGATGAATCTCTACTTTTGATATCTAAACTATAACAGTGTTAAAACTGCAGTTGAGAATGAATAAGCCAATTTTTTTACAATCTAATTCTCTAGTTGGATGATGGTGAGAGAACTAATTTAAAAGAAGTACAATGTATTGCTGTAAGCAGTCAGAAACAATCCAGTCAGAATGAATGAGTCATTTGTGACTGGACTTTGAAAGATATATTAGAAAAATATTCATGCTGTCCAAATCTTAATTGGGCCTGTTTTCATTTGGGAACCAGAGATGGGTGACGGGAACCTAAGCAATTAAAACTAAAGAATTGATTTGGTAGTAATGAAAATATTTGCTTACAATTAATCATGACATTTGTTGGTAGTGGAAACAATAGTTATTTTTTTTTAGTTGTAAAAAAGGAACACAATGGGGTGTGGGGGTAGGAAGACTGTATTATTTTGGAGAGTAGAAACAGGAGTGTCAAACACTCATCTACGAATACAGTCCTTAAACAACTACAGTATTAGAATTAGCTTGATGGTAACGATGCTTGCTCTTGTTCATTATTTGATATATCATGCTTTCCCTACATCGTTCAAGGCAGCATTCATAAGATTTGCTCCTTCAATTTTTAGATCTGAAAATTTTGTAGGAGCAGGTATTCACAGCCTCTTCCTAATTATGTAGCAATTATTATCTATCTTGTTTGTCATAACTAAGCAAAGATATATGGCTTTCAAAAATAATTTTCTCTAATATATAGCACTGGGTTTCTTGTAGCTTGAAGTTACCAAAAATTGGATGAATGGATTGTCAATATTAGTTACATAATTTTGGCCTTGGTCAGGTCACATTGTTGGTTGGTGAAACAACAAATATAGTTAAAGTGCACCTTTGCAAATATGATACTTGGATATGAGTTCCAAGACATGGAAGGACTCCAATTTTAAAAATAATAATAGTAAAAAGGACTCCATTTTTTAAAAATAAAGTAGAGCAATTGCCAGCTCAACATGTGTCACTAATGTCAGCTCTTATAGAAATTTTCTGTAACACCTTCCACTGTCAGCCTTCTCTTGAACAACTACCGTTTATACTTCAGTCTCAGCTAGTAAAGCATCAGACTAACTAAAAATGCTGGGAATTCCTTGTGGGTAGGATTCATGATATTTTTGCACTGAGATAATAAACCAGTAATCATCAGTAATCACATCCTCGCACTAATTAATAAAATAGCTGTACTTTTAAAGCAGAACAAATAATCTTACATAGCAAAACTTGCTAATAGTTGTAACTTTAGGATAATCTTTGTTTTTATAAGTTGTTTGAGTTAATCAGTGTGGAATCAGTTTGAAATGATCTTAGTATGGTTTTCTGTTTAGTGGCATTGCTTTGTGTTGAAATTGATAGCATTGCAAAGTTTGAATTGGTAGCTTCATGAAGTGAAACTTCAGTTGGATATTACTTATATTTTGGGTCTTCTGATTTTGAAATGTCTTAAAATTTGCAAAGATGGTTTCCTCTAATATAGAACTGTGAGTTTGGTTAACTTTACATTTATAATTTCTGCAGTATTTCAAAACAGTAGACATTATAGTTTAGGCAATTAAAAGTCAGGTATTTGACTGGTTGAAAATTCTCCCACTAGTTATTGTTCTATTTGCATATCAACCTGCCCACATAGTTCAATATGCTTGAGATAGATTTTGTCCATAAAGTTTAATAGAACAGCTAGAAAGGCTCACAATTTGACCTGAAATAGTATCAGCCTTGATGGTAGAGGGAAGATGCCACTCCACTCTTTGTCGTCTTTATATTTTCACTATAGACTTGATATAGTCAAGCAAGTTGACTTCAGAAATATTAGAGAGGACTCCACTGGGACTGGATCCTTAGGTTTTTTTCCTCAGTTTTCCCTATTAGGTTGTAAAGGACCTTTTGTTTTTGTTTTCAGGAGACCATTCCAAGACATTTTAAGAAACATTTTATTTGTATGATGCAGGAAAGAGAGAATATAGCCAAAGGAACAAACAAACCAACAGTGTAGAAACTTGACATTTTTTTCAATGAGTTTCTTTTTCCCCAATCTTTTATTGACCAAATGTGCTAATAGCTTTCTTAGTCTTAATATAGGGAGAAGATGTAAGATAGTTGACTGCAATTGCTCTGATCATCTTGTGCATGCCTAATACAATCTCTTCTAACTCATTTAATTAAACCTATTGTGCTTTTTATTTTTGCCCTACTGCTTTCCCCTGCATGGCTATGAAAGCATGTACAATTACAATAAATATCTTTTTTTGCACAGTGTTTACAACACTTTTTATCACAAAATAACACTATTAAGATATAAATGGGGAACCTTAAGTGTTGGGTTAAATGGAAAATTCTGTCTCTGTCTAGTAATCTAGGTTTTAGCATTATGACAAATTTTGCACAGATATGTATGCACTTAACGTGAACTCACACACACACACAATAAAATGCACCACTGCCTGTATCTTTTGTATATCATTATGCATGATTCAGGCTATCATGCACACTATTAGTGACGATCATAGATAAAAAAACCCACGTGAATTTCTAGAGAGATGTTTATAAAGAAGTCCCTGTGCCTACATGGGAAGCATAATATCCAAACTTAGTTCAGTTATCATAATCTAAAGTCCTTGGTACTTGGTAGTGGTTGATATAATGCAATTCCTCTTAAATGTGCTTAGGTTGAAAATGTGCAGATTTTGGATCTTCCAAAATGCATATTTAGGATAAAGGCACATTACAGTCAGTATCCTCCTGTAATGACATTGTTTCCTGTTTCCTGTGATGGTGACTGCATTCTTCAAGAAATGTAACTGCTATATCTATTGATAGATTTAGGTATGATGATATCAAAATGATCTTGTGTGTGTCATGGCGTTATTGTGCAGATGACACAAATTACAGAATAAGTTTACAGAATTTATATCATTTGCATGACATGATACTGAAGATGTCATCCCCCCCCCTTGCTAGCCTTGTAGATGTCCATAGAAGAGTATAAATACTCATTTACAGGTAACCTGTGTGTCTCAGAAAACCTAGCAGGTTGGTTGTTGAGTTTTCAGTGAGTATAAAGCCAGGGTTCAACAAAATCTGTGTGCTCCATAATGTAGACTTCTGTCAGATGGCTATTGCATTTCCTAAACCCCACCCCACCCCTTATGTAGTTCAGGTGAAAATTCACATTGGTTTCTGGGTATTTCCCTTCCCATACAGGATCTGACTGCTTTAGCAAAAGAATTGCGGGAGCTGCGGATTGAAGAAACCAACCGGCCTTTAAAGAAAGTTACTGATTATTCCTCCTCCAGTGAGGAATCTGAAAGCAGCGAAGAGGAGGAAGAGGACGGAGAAAGTGAAACACAAGACGGCACTGTGCCTGTCAGCGACATCCCGAGGCTTATGTAAGGCATTTTTTTGGTGGAGATAAATTCATGACTACGCTGTATTTAGTACTGCTGGTTGGAATAACATTCTGTAGACTGTTGCTGAAAAAAGCATCCCCATAATGTATACAAAAGATTTCCTACCAGGTTAGGCCATGAGCTTGATCCCCAGCTCTCTCTTTCTGCCCAAAGAGTGGTAAACAAATGCACAACAACAGTGATGAAGGGAAGCAGCAAGTACGTACCTGCTCTTTCACTTGCTTCTTTGGTAAGGAAGCAGATGTTAGCAATAGAACGTAGGTGAGCAACATGGGGCCCTAGGGCCACATATGACCCCCTTTTTTTATGGCTTCTGGAACCACTTCTGAACACAATTGCTAAAATAGGGGGGCTGGTTTTCTGCCATTTTAAAGTAAGAGATGCAAGAAAACACTTTTGTAAGCTGTAAAGAGGCTTAGCTGAATGAATGAACGAACGAACGAACGAATGAATGAATGAATGAATGCCTCCAAATTCTTCCCCCTTCAAAACTAGTGGGTATGCCTATAGATGTCTCATAACTCTGCCTACTTTACATCATTGCCCCTGCCCCATGACAACCCTCCTGCTTCCAAAATGCAATAAGTGCAATCTTTAGCCACCATAAAGTGTATTCTTTATGGAGCAGCAGCCAATCCTGTCTGTCTATGGAGTATATTTCTCTAATATATTCTTTCTCATTGGCATACTGAAGAATTTGGGAATAGCTCTTAAAAAAATCACAGCATAAAAAATCCCTAATACGAAACAACTCTCTGAGGTTCTGTGTTTCAAATATAGAGACTGTTAACTTGGTTTTACAGCCACCTCCTTTAATATTTGAACATGACATTGCCATTTGCATCAACACACACTTCAGCAACGCCTCGATATTCTGAAGGCTGACCAAATTCAACAGTGTATCTGGTTCATGATCAGAGCATCTTTTAATTTATCTTTCTATAAACGTTATCTAGGTCAATATCTGCCTTCAGGCAGAAATGTGCAGCTGCTGCTTATTTTCATTAGTCAACCAAAAGCATATGGCTAAACTTTAGGCAGTTAGTTTATTTGTATTTTGCTTAATGTGGTGAAAAATATTCTGTATTGCAATTTCACATTGGAGAGCTGTCAGAAACAAAAGTGCCTGGTTGGGGCTTATACACTTGACGATAATGCTTGCCGAGGGGATGACTTTGAAAACAACCTATTTGTGGCAAGAGCTGCCTGCCTGTGATTTAGTCATAATTTCCCTGTCCCTAATCCCATTTGTCTAGCTTCTGCTGGGTGCAAGAGGAACCTCGTAATATGGGTATAATGGTATGGTGAATACTTGAAAAAGTTACCAGCCAACAGTGGGGGTCAAGACGGTGGCTGTGGCATTGCACTCAAAACCCTGCTCCTTTGTAGATGAACCTGACAGCCATGCATGTAAAAAGGGGTGGGGCTTTGATTGTAATGCAGTGACCAATCACCAGATTGACCCCCTGCTGCCCCATAGATGCTGCTACTGGCCAGCCAGGTATTGCCTGAAGGAGTTTTCAGCATCACCTTGGTGGGAACACGTGCTCTGATGTTTAGGGTAAAACACGGGTGATGCAGGATACAGGTTTCCCATTTAAAAAGATCATCATCCAATTCTCCTTTCTTTCTCCTTGATGTTAGTTCAGAAAATACATTTCATAGAATTGTCAGAATTGTACATTATTAGATGATGATAGGAAGAAGCACAGGACAAATTGACAATGTAATGTCAAGCTTTGGGTTCCCCTTTCTAAAAACAAAAAAAGGACACACGTCTTTTACAAATCTTCTAAGATTAAAATTTCTCTATAGCCATCACCTACTTACCACAAGAAACCAAGTGCTTTTTCTCACTTGTTTTAGTTTTGAAAACTCCTATTTTTCAGACCAACAGGAATGCCAGCAAACAACGAGTCCTACAGTCTAGGAATGGTATCAAGCCATGGTGGTCTGGAGCCCCCCCACCCTGATAAATTTAGCAGTATTTCAAGAGAAGGGACTTTAATGATAAGGGAGGTAAGTGGGCGGCAACTATTTTTCTCTGCAGTGTCTTTGAGAGATAATGTCTTCGTAGGCTATGAATAATAATTACACTGTGTACTCTGAGCACAGAGTGATTGATTAAACTCTGCTGGTTTGCAGCTGATTAATATAATTATAACATCTAAACAAAAGATGTGTCTTAACTATAAACAGCACCGAACACTGTAGGACATAGCAAGGTTGTTTTCAGATCCTCATCTTCTTTCAACCTGGCTTTAAAACACATAACTTAAACAAAATTGATACTGTAAAAGTGAGACAGAAACTTGGTTCACTACTATATGGTGGAGATTCTCAGTTGCTTTAGATTAATTATCATTCTGATCACCCAATTGCTGTATCTTGGTCTATATTCAGGGAAGAAAAGGAAGACCCTCTGTAAAAGTCAGTGGTGAAAAATACACTTGTGTTGTTTTTGTAAAGTGATAGGGAAAGTCAGTTGCACTAATGTAACAAGGGGGGACATCAGTAAAAGTTGTTGAGGCAAAGCTGTAACACTTTGTGGAATGCCATGATTAACATCCTGCCACTGTCAGATGAACGTTTCCTAAAGCCTGGCAGATCAGGATTATAAGGAACTGAACCAAACATCATTTGCTTAGGCTGCTCCCTGCTAAAAAGTTCCCTCCTGGAGAAATAATACTGCTTTCCTCCCTTTGTAGCTGTGCTATGAAAAGGGTGGGGTTGCTTGATGATGTGGTCAAGACAAATGGCCAGATTGTAGGCGGCAAGTGAAGGCAGGGTAATTTACTCAGGGGCGTGAGCCAGCCCATATTCTGTTTTGTTTTGTCTCACAAGGACACACATCGATTCAGATCCACTCTCTTTTATCCATTCTGTCTTTCCTTCCTGTCATTCATGAGTTAATGCCATTCCCTCCCCCGCTTTCTATTTCTTCAAACATCATCTACACATCATGAAAACAATCTTGAGAAAAAGAAATCTCATTACCTATCTTTTTTTTCTTAAGCCATAATGCTGTACAAGTTGAAGGAGATGACTCCTGGTCAGAACTTTTCAGCCCCTGTCTTAAGAAAAAGGGACACCGTCCAAATAATGAGAGAGAGAAGGGTGTATAATTCACAAGTATACCTGACATCTTATGTGGAGGTCACCAGCACTATCTAGTAATCATCTGTGATTTTAAATGGCCAACTTTCCTCTGTAGGAAACCGTAGTGTTGGTTATTGTTGAAGCCAGCTATAGTTTCTTTTTAGAAGCGGGGGGGGGTCCCCAGTTAACTTCATTTCTTGTAGAGTGAGTGCATTTGCTGTTCTGACCATATTCTGTTGTCCTTTTATTGTGATGGCAGAGGCTAGAAAGATCTGAGTGTTTGTCTGTACAGAGTTCTTATTTATACAATTGTCAAACCAGGCACTTTGTCTACCTCTGCAGTCCCTCAAAGTGGTAATAGCAGGCCCATCTTCCAGTGACTCACAAGTTATGTTTAATGTATAGGAAATTCTGCTATAAACATCTGTTTGAGCACTGTGACCTGGAACTACAGCAAGGAGACATGGATCAGAGCATCTATAATGGGAAGGAAAAAAAATTAGGTGGCAAAACTGCTGCCTCAGCAGTAGTTTAGGCATCTCAGATAGGTTTTCAGCCTAGCTAGTCAGATTTTCTGATTGTTCCAATAATAATTTTCTAAGTCTTAAACAGTCCAGTGTAGCTTAGTAATAGTGCTTGACTATTTTAGAGAATGTAAATTCTGGTATTTTCCTCTGGATTTTGTTGGCATCATCTCAAGTTTGCAGGTCTGATGACAAAAGACCTGCTGTATAGGGGAGTAAAACACTACCTGTGAGAGTTTTCTGCCCTACCTTATACACCCTTTTCCCTCCATAAAATGTGATTCCTATGCAAACTAGATATAAGATACTCACGTAATCCAGATACTAATGGGCATCTCCCAACCTGTTGACATAAAATGTGAGCTGTATCAAAGTAGTGTAACAGGAAAGATAAAGTAGTGTGCTAGCTTTTTTTTTTTTGCAAAATTGTGCAAAATTGCATTTGTGCTTTTTCTACGTAGTCCTTGTTTGCAAAAGTGTCTGAAAGTGACCTTAAACTTGATAGGATTTGAGAACCATGCTGTGATGAGTGCCTCAGATTTCTATTTCTCTCTCTCTCTCTCTCTCTCTCTCTCTTTTTTCCTCCCCTAAATAAATCGTTCTTTGCCCTCTGATTAAATTGAGAGTTTCAAGAATTGTGGCAGATGCCGTTTATGCAGCCTGGGGTAATGTCTTTCAGGTACATTACCCTGCTCTAGAGCCTTCCCTTAATAAGTGACACATTAGGCACAAACAGCAGGTTACTGCAGCTGTAACACACTGCTGACAATTTCTGCCAGACTTGTAATTCAGCTAAAATAGCATCAACTGGCTTTCTTTTTCTTTTTCTTTTTCTTTTCCTTTTTCTTTTTCATTGCCAGCGGAGACTAGAAGGAAGAACAGACTTTTTTTTTTTTTTTTTTTTTTTTGGATTAGATTGCAATTCTCCAACTGCAGATGGAAGTGTGGGGGTGGGGGGGGGGAGATTGCTGTCAGTGGAGGCACATAAACTTCACTGAAACTAACACAAGTCTTGGGGCAAAAAGAAACTTACTAATCTGTGCAGGGGAAATCGAAAGTTGCTCATGGCTGTCTTAAATAACCTCAACTTAGAGTAGCCACTGTGAAAAAGAATCAGCATGGAAAAATGGCCAATGACTTTGGTGAATTCCAGATTATATACCCCAGAGCACTTAAGCTACCAACACCTTCTGCTGTTGGTGGGCATGCCAAAAGGCAATGACTGTGAGTTTGTTTTAACACTTCTAAGCAAATACTAGTGCAGAGATACATAGTGTGATGCCCAGAGCTGCACACAACTTCTTGGTTACACACACACACACACCATCCTCAGCAAGGCTCTCCAAAAGATGCTGCTAATTGTAATGAAGAGGACAGAAAGGAGAAGTTATTAAATCACTGGGAAGCAATCCCTGTTAAAGTACGTTGGGCGTGCATTTGATTATGAACAGATTTGATGAGACTGAGATGCAGTGAAAGTAAATTTACTTTTTTTGTCCAGGCCCCACCTACTTTTTGAGGGTGGCCCTGAGTGAGTGGATAAAGCGAGGCAACAATCCATCCCTCAGCTTCTACAGGGGCACAAAATGGAGATAAGCCAAGACTGTGTAATCCTTTGACCATGGTTAAAATAAAATGCTACTTTACATAGGGATTTTTTTTTTCATTTTTTAAAATTACCATGCCATTATTTTAAGGTAGTAGGTGAAATGCCAGATAACTGGCCATGTGCCTGCATCTAAATCTGAATTGCTGGTTTGGATGCAGTGATCCTGCCAGAATAGAGCATATTTTCTCAGACAACCTATCGGTTACCGGTGTCCCACCCAAGCTTTCCTCTCCTTACATGCCAGTCTTGGTAGCTGCATCAGAATTAATCCAAACGAGTTCCCTGTTACACCCAAACAGGAAATTATGGTTTTGATAATGTACTCAGAACCCTAGTTTCATGCCATGCATTGGAAACCCAAGGCTGATCCCTAGTTTCTCTGCTGAGACACACTCTTAACAGGTTTTAAGAACCACAGTACACGCATAGACCCCTGGATATCAGGAGAGGGAAGAGGATGCAAGCCCAGTTTAATACAGCTGTTTTATTAGACAAAGGATCATGGAACCATGCAGAACTCTGCTTCTGAAATTTATTAAGCCAGAATATGTATCTCCAACCCAATTCATTGAGTAAGAAAGGATTTTATCAGTCACTTTCTCGAGGGATCTGGGCTTGGCTAAAACTTTACAGGAAAAGGGACATAAAATTCTGAGCAATTCCCCAGCACAGATCTGAATAAGTACTGCAATAACCTAGAGTTCCCTACCTGCTTCTGAACAACTGGAGGAAATCAAAGATAAGTTGTCAGACAGCAGAGGTCAGCTTAGTCCTTCTCCTGACTTTCTGGGATTTTGTGGCTGGATATGCACAGCGCACAAAGCCAGGAGTGGCAACTACTACATGTGATCAAGCGCTGCACTTTTTATTTTTGCCTCCAAGAGCTGGTTTAGCATCATCACCAGAGTATGCAAGGAAAACGTTTTTGGTCTATTTTTAGGGAGGAAATAGGGAGATTTTGAGACCAAAAAAACCCCCCTCCCCCTCACCAGTCCCTGGAGGAGATTGAATCAGTGATTGATGATCCCCATGGTGACATGTAGGAGGGGGGGGGAAATGCGGCTATTTAGTGAGAATGAAAGAGGTTCATTTACTTCTAAGGCCTCTTTGAAGTAGCTTTTCCAGTTGGCTCCCCTTCTGGTATTGGCTTAAATTCTCATACTCTGATCATCATAGGCCACGTAGGCTGAGGAATTATGGAGTTGAAGACTAATTCCTCTGGAGGACAACTAGTTGGAGAAAGCATCTCTAAAGGAAGATTTTATATTACAGGTCTGGGAACCCAGCAGGTATTGGGATATTACTGTATTTCCCATGGGATAATTGGCCTATGTTGTTGAGCATTGTCAAAAGTGAACATTACCACAGAAAGATAAAAAATGAGATAAAATAATTATGTCAAACACATTTTATTATGCCTTTTTATAAAATTAACACATTCTGCTTTAGAATGCTGTTAATGTAAGATACTGAACGGAAGATGGCAAGCATATTGTGCTGAAATACATTCAGATCCACATAATTTTCTCCATTTATCCCACCACTTTATTCCTAAAATTATCTCTGACCCACTACAGATGCCCAGTAAATTTGCAGTGAGGGCAAGGATCACACTAGGCTACACTTGTAATAACTGTGCTATCATGGCACAGCCCTAGAGGTGCAAGAATCCTGGGATACTGACAGGGCACTTAATCAAGCTGTTCTGTTTGTGCCGATCATTTCTGTGAAAGCTCTAAATCCTACAGTCAATACCTCTCTACTTTGGTTATCAGCTACCAAGCAACCCATAGGCATTTACATGTTGAAGACTTCCAAGCATCTGCTTTAAACATGAAAACCATATTGACTCCGCTGTCCTTACAGTTTCTCTTCTGCATCCTGCCACATACTTGATAGCATTCCCCATTGGCATAAATAGCACAGCAGCGTTTCTAGACTCACAGTCTTTAAAAAAGATCATAATCACTTTTCTCCTGATGCAGAAGCATGCTGCCACCAATCTCACTGGCTGATGAATTCATTTTGTATTGCATGCCGTCTTAATGTCACCACTATCAGTAGTTGCCTCTTGCTGCATGTTGCATGTCAAGAAGTTGGGCAACCCAGGGTCTTTTTCTGTGCTTGCTTAGAGTGTGGGTTGATACGGCAACCTTGGGTTTTGTTTTTGTTTCCTTCTGCAATTCCTCCTCCTCTTCTTTTCCATATAACTTGTGTCTCTGCAGACTTCTGGTGACCACAAGCGCTCTGGCCACCCAGCCAGCAATGGCTTTGCTGGCCATGTCAACCTTCCCGATCTAGTGCAACAGAGCCACTCACCTGCGGGCACGCCGACTGAGGGCTTGGGGCGAGTCTCCACCCATGGGCAAGAGATGGAGCCTGTGGCTGAAGTAGGTAGCAGAGGCCCTTTGGGTTTTAGACCCCTTCTCTCTTCCCTTTCCTTTTGCTTTGTACAGCTATTAACATTCTGTTTTATAGAGGCACTCTTGGGTGTGGGGGAGCTTTCCTTTTTCTTTTCTTGGTTGCATTCTGTAATAAGATGACAAGCAGAATCTCTGCAGTACTCCCTCTCTTGTTACAAGTGGATGAGAAAGAAGCTAGGATACTCCCAGATAGAAACATTCCCCACGTCGGTAGCTGTAAAACCCAGAAATGAAAAAGGAAGTACATTATGGAAAAGACAATTGTTGCTACTTTTGCTCAGACGTTTTCATTACTGATTGTGCTGTTATGGCATTAAGCAGCATTTTGGAGAAATTCCAGATCTGCAAGATTCTGAACAATCATTACTGTATGTTAGAGATACTGATCTGCAGTACCACATAGTTACACAGCACAGAATTGCAATTCTTGCAAAATGTATAGCCATTACAGTTGTGAAGCAAAGTTTTCAGAGACAGGGATAGAGCTTCAGTGACCTGTATTGCTCTTTTCACAGAATGCCACTTTATTTATTTATTTATAAGATTTGTATAGCTGCCCATCTTATGTAGCATAACCCTGGGCAGCTCACAAACAGTAATAAAACAGTAAAAACAATAAAAAACATAGAAGCCAACAAAGAACCTCCCAGCACCTTCAAGCACAACATATTCCCTCATATCCAAACTGTAGAGCTTTCCTAGGCATTAGCCTCACACCACCCCAAGGCTCGTGGGAGAAGCCAGTCTTAACAGCTTTTTGGAAGGCTGGGAGGGCAGGGGCCTGCTGGATCTCATGGGGAAGGGTTTTCCAAAGTGCTGGAGCAGCTACCAAGAAGGCACAATGCTTAGGTCCCATCAGGTGACAACATTAAAGGGAAGGGACCCGGAGTGCACCCATTCTGTCAGACCTAGTGGAATGGGAAGATAGTGGTCCCACAAATAACCTAGCCCTGTGCCATCTGGGGCTTTAAAGGTGATAATGAGCACCTTGAATTTCACCCAGAAAGAAATGGGAAGCTAATGCAGGTCACACAGCAGTGATACAACTTGGGCAAGCTATAGGGTGCTCAAAATTACATGTGCCACCATCTTCTGGACAAGCTGTTATTTCCAGATGCTCTTCAAGGGCAGCCCATGTAAAGCACATTGCAGCAATCGAATTGGGATGTGACTAGGGCATGAGTTTTCCATGTCCAGCAAATGCAGAATAAATAACCAAATATAGATAAATTGCATACTTTTGTGTAGTTTATGCAATTGTAGAACAGTCGTTAAGTTGTGATGGGACCAAATTTTGAAATCACTAGTTAGTAATATCTAGGAGTGGGGGTGAAATATTTGGTCAAATACTCATTCTGAAACCCTTTTGTTTAATCCTTTTCTTACTGTGCCAAGAGATAATGAAGCCTTTTTCTGGAAACCTAGATGGCAGCCCCTGAATTCAGCCTGTATGTATTTTATAGTAAAACAGACTCTTCCATGATTTGGGTTATACCTTGGAGCTGGCAGGCTAGGTAATTATCTAGTGTGACAGCTGTCTATGGCTTTCATCCTGGATTGCAGGCTTGGTTCTGGGCTGCAGTGGTTTTTGAAATAAATTCCAGGAAAAGGAATAAAATAGCCCTGGTGGAACATATCCCCCTCCTTCCCCTTGCTGCTTCCTATTATTATGACTCCTAATAGAGGTCATAAATATAACAGGCCCTGGATAAACAGCACAGCAGAAAAACAAGAGCTTAGCCCCTGCACTGGCCCTGCAGCTATCAAAAGGAATGTAGCAGTGAGATTGTAGGGAGGCTGGGAAAGGAATAGAAGGGAGAATAAGCAAACAGAGACAGGAAAAGAATCCACTCATAGCTTGTCTCATAAATGGCAGTTTAGCCCAGATGCCAAAAAACTTAGGAAGAAGGAATTTCAGATCATTCAAGGAGACTCCACCTTAGTGAATTCACTATATCAATATGGGTTGGAAATTCCTCTTGTAGTTTCCCCAAGACTATCATTAAAGATACTTTACTGAATCTCTGCAGTTCTTTCTTCATTGGTCTTGACCAGCTCCAGGACTTGATGTTAGTATTCTTTCACAAGGAAACCTTATCTTCACTTTTGGAAGTTAGCAGGGCTGTTTCTCTCTCTCTCTCTCTCTCTCTCACACACACACACACACACACACACACACACAAAGACACAGACCTTCCCTTTAAATGGCCTCAGATTCACACATTTGTTTTAGGCAACTTAATATGGAAAAAGGAAAGAAATGAAACACAGCACAATTCCTATCTTCTTGGGACTCACTTAGGATGGTGAACTTGTTTCCTGGGACTTGGGGAAGGGAGAGAATCAGGTGATGTATTGACTAGGAAAAAATATAAAGTCTTTATAGACACTGATACAGAAGATGTGCAGAATACTGTCCCTCTCTTTTTCTGGAAAATTTGCAGCTGCCAATCTGTGCAACTAAACATCGCACTGTATCACCACATACCTTGTGGGTGCAATTTGAAGGTACTGTATATTTCAGAAGTTTTCAGCCTCTGGTTTTGATATTACTTTTGCATAAAAAATGTAGGGATCAGTTGGATCGTCAAAACTAATTGGAAGTGTTTGAAGTATGTAAACTGTGCTAGCTTGATGTAGTGCCAGTTTGGTGTAGTGATTAGGCACTAGGCTAGAGACCAGGAGTTCTAGTCCCACCTTAGGCATGAAGCCAACTGGGTGACCTTGGGCCAGTCACTCTTTCTTCACCCTAGGAAGAAGGCGGCAATGGCAAACCACTTCCAAAAAAAACTTGCCAAGAAAACTGCAGGGACTTGTCCAGGCAGTCATCAGGAGTCAACATGGGCTTGAAGGCACGTGCTCACACACACACACACACACACTGCTAGACCAGTTCCTCATCTGAACTGGTTTTGCAAAACTGTGCCTGTCCTGGGTTTTGAATGAAGCTCTTCCAAGTTCTGTATACAAGAGTTTGGGGTATCACACACACAAGTGTAGCAGCCTTGGCTTTTTCATCACTTGATGAAATGCAGTTGAATATATCAGATGGTTCTGCTGGAAAGGATGGTTAATTAGTTTGCATCTCAGAAGAGACATTCACAGTGATGCTTATTTGATAATGAAGCATTGGTGTGGAAAAAATGCTACCTCTCTCTGCTATATGAGCCACAGAGGGTCATTTACACATGTACTCACCGCTAGATGCTGCAAGAGTGAATTGATCTATGCCATTAAAGTATTCCTTAAATGAAAATACCAGCAAGCAAGCCTAGATCTGCTTACCTATGCATAGAAGTCATTATAACACAGGGATACCATATATAATCTGGGGTGATGATGAAAATCTTAAGAATCATTTCTGTGTTCTTCACTTTATAGTATGGCATGGGAAGCAGTACAAAAGCCTCTTTCACCCCATTTGTAGACACCAGAGTGTATCAGACCTCCCCGACTGATGAAGATGAAGATGATGACGAAGAATCCTCTGCTACAGGTAAAAAAAACAGTGTCAGAACTAAGAAATCTGTTGGCTGAAAGATTTGGCTTATTTCCATAAACACTGGAAATGTGCTAGCTCCAGAAGAAACCATTTGTAAATCTTGCACATGCTAGTTTCAAATCCCAGCTAACTGATAATCTCCATCTATAGCAGCTTCCTGCTTTTGCTGAATCATGGCAAAATGTCATTGCTATGTTGGAGGGAGGGAGGGATCGCACATCCTGAAAGCTGTGTGTTCATAGCAACCCCCCATAACTGACAGATAGGTATACTTGATCAAGATGCTGGCATACACAGAATTACATTGTGGCTCCTGTGATCTGAAATATTCTTTGCAAGGAATGTAAATATGATTAACTCCAAAAGATTAGTTGAAAAACAACAGCACAACCACATTTTAATTTTCCATTCAGTTATATATTTATATAAAGTTTTTGTGTTCAAACAACAAGCTTAGTCTAGTTTGTAATTACAGTGGAACCTCGAGTTACGAATTTAATCTGTCCCGTGACTCTGGTTGCAACTCGAATTGGTCGCAACACGAGGCAAATTTTCCCATAAGGT